TGGCCGGTCCCCCCCGGTTCCCCCCCGCTCCGTTGAGACACGGGAGACAAAAATGTGATTATTTCTTTCGGCTGACACACACATCACACATAGGCGCGTGCTCACACACATGCGCACACGTACACACACGGGACGCAGCCTAAAATACACACGGGTAGGTCATAAATACCCGAGTAATGGCAAAGCTCATATTAGGGGATTATTACGGGGAAAAGAAGACACACACCTTGATACCAACAGTTCAGGTGTCTATTGGAGTGGATGACATGAATGGTGCGATGAGTAATAATCATGATCATCTATTCAACTCTATACATTGTGCACTCGTAGGAAAAGTCTAACAAAATACAACTGCTTTGTGAACTGAATCGGGGAAGTCCTCCATCAAAAATAGTAAGGCAAATATCCGAGGTACGAAGGGACAGGAACACAATATGTCACACACTGTGTCCGATACCTGAGCTATCTGGAGAGTTTCCCGGTCCGGCATGGAGCCCCCCTCTGACACACAGGTGCACGCGCAGACACGCACGGGCACACACGCATACACGCAACACAAACTGCCTGTTCGTGGCTAGTGTGCAAGGTTTATGTGTTGTAGCGTCAGGGAGCCAGTTAGGGTTTCATCCGGTCCATTAAAGGGGACGGCAAACCAGAAAGTTCCATCTTTTGATTCGGTCGAGCCACCCCCCCCCCCGTCACTCCTCAACGGAGCACAGCGGGGAGACGTACCAGGTGGGCGGTGAAGGGAGGACGAAGGAAGGGTGGGGATTTCCAAACAAGCCAAAGAATAACAACCCACAGAAGAAGTCTCTCCCTCGTCAGTCTGATCACCGGATACGGGGTCAGTGCGCATCTCTCCAGATTTGTGCAGCAGGTGGTAGAAATAACACGGGCTTGAAGTAACGATCAAGTCACCAAAACATAAAGCGGTGCTCTTCCAAGAACAGAAATTAAAATCTCCTCTGGGCTGCTGCTGCTGCTGCTGCTGCTGCTGCTGCTGCTGCTTCGGGTCAGACTTTGTAGTAGATGTTGGCGGGGCTCTGAGGAGGCATCTCCTGAACGATGTAGACCGGGTGCCCGTAGTCGCCGCTCACTTTCTCATAGTGAGGGCAGTAGTTGTTCTCTGTCCGCAGCGGAATGATGATGTCACTGGGCTCCGTGCCAGCAGTGCCCCCGGGCATCTTGGGATTGGACAACGTGCTGAGTGACAGTGCGGAGGGGCGGGGCTGCGAGTGTGTGTTTTTCCTGGACCGTTTGCGCATCTTGATGAGCAGAATGACCAGGAGGAGGATGAGCAACAGGAAGATGATACATCCCGCTCCGATGGCCGAGAACACGGCCACTTTGGAGCCCAGGATGCCGTCCGAGTTTGCGGAGGAACCGGACTGGTCCTGGTTCATGGTGTCTGAGGAGACAAGGAAAGAAAGAGGGGTTACCGGGGCAAAAACATTCACTCCCCAAAAACAAAACTAAAAAAAAAAACTGCTACTGGCAGACCTGGACTGACACAAAAGAAGAAAAAAAACGGCCCTGCATTTTGGCTTACACCGGCCATAATTGTGACTAATTTAAAATTGAAATTAGGATTTTATAAGATTCTTCAGTTTTTATACTTCATTAGGTGTATATTGAGTTAGATCTTTTAGTGTCATGCCCAATCTGTGACAATAGAGCTTTAAATTGTCTTTTTTTTTTTCCGTCAAATAAAATTATTTTGGGAGAAAATCTAAGAAGACTACAGTAATTGCTTTTTGCAAAGTTGAGGGGACGGACAATCTGATGAATAGTGAAAAGTGTGAAAAGAGACATTTGCCAAAAGGTAAAGTTTTTGTGTAACCCTGCATGCTAACGAGCCAACCAAAACAATGATCGTTGCTACTGCTGAAAAGCACTTTTTGAATAAAAGCCAAAGAATTTGGATTTACATACATCTGTCAGTGGTCAGCAACAATTTGACAAATTGACAAGGGAATATCGAAACATCCGATCTGTATCCTGTATTTATTTTAAAAGAGGTGTTTGGGGGGGAAGCTCAAATGGGAAGGGAACCGGGTTGTTGGTGGGGGTTGTTACTGGACATGAAAACAAATGATTGGCTCCTCCGGTGACTGAAATCTGAGAAGCAAATCTCTTTTCCATGCATGCGTGCAGCTGCTGCCCCCACCCCCACCCCATTACCAGCAGCACCAGCTCCTTACTGTCCACGAGCCTCCATTCCAGCAACATGTCGAGGAGCCTCTCCCGAGATAACCGTGCAGATTGCCATCCTACCTAATGACTATGTCTGCACACTCGACTGACCACTGCGCACTTAACCATTGGCGGAGGGGCCGAACGCTGCGCCTTCAAGCTAATGACAAGTAAATGACACGACTGAAAGCTGCCGTTCCCTCGCCTTATCGGTGCAATCAGAGAGGCGCGGGGGGAATTTCATACGTTCTGCACACAGCAATGTTGGAACGAGGCTGTCAGAAATTTCATTCCAGAAATAACAGCTCCTCAAGCCGCGGTGACACTTCCTTCATTCCACCTTTCACCTGTTCACTTGACATAATCACTGATCTAACAGAGGAAGACAGGTAAAAGCCTGAGTATACAGAAAAGGGATACGAGGAAATTTTTTATAGAACAGCTAATGGCAAGTAAGCAATTATTGAATCAGGGGTGGATTATCGCATCGGGCCAGAAAGACAATTTACACACACACACACACACACACACACACACACACACACACACATACATACATACATACATACATACATACATACATACATACATACATACATACATACATACATACATACATACATACATATATACATACATACATACATACATACATACATACATACATACATACATACATACATACATACATACATACATACATACATACATACATACATACATACATACATACATACATACATACATACATACATACATACATACATACATACATACATACATACATACATATATATATATATATA